TTTGTGTTTTTATATCAGAAGCATGTGGAGAAATTTTTGATGACCACCATCTTGTTTTACGTGTTTTACGCTTTTTTTGCTATTTCATGATTTTATTTAATGAAAGGCATTTCCAATTTTCGGTTTGATTTTATCAAACTATGTAATGTAATTCTAACCTAGAAAACCGTTGGTTCTCTTTTGAGGCAGACTGAAATTGGAAATGCCTTGGCCATTGGGGCACGTTGCTAATACACACGGTTCTTTTCAGATTGGGGCCATCCCCTTTGTCTTTGCCTTTGTCTTTCACTTTGCCTTCCTTTGTCTTTGACTTTGGCTTACCTATTGCTTGGCCTATCACTTTGCCGTGTCTTCACAAATGCATGTGCCTTGGCTGCGCCGTCACTTACAGCTTCATCCTTAATGAAGATCACTTTTAAGTTCAACTTCACTGCATCCTTCGCCTACATCTAGTTTTGAAACCACTAAATGTGAGGTCACCCCTCATAACTGGGACCTCCACTTGAAGCACCTGGCTATCCTCGCTTCAGTCCAGTCAAAATGGACCAGCTTAGCGAAAGATAAGTGGATGATTTTGTAACAGCGCCAAAGATTTAATACTTTTATTTTGTTCTTTAAAATTTCAATTTCAAATGTAATGAAAATGCTTTTCTAGTTAAATAAAATCTGTTAAATGTTTGTGTTCTGTTTGTTCTTCTATCCTCTAGCCATGCCATGGTCGACACACAGCTACACGCCTGTAGATGTCTTCATGCCACCAACTGAGCTACCGGAAGCTAATGGTAACCTCCTTTCTGTGATTGTGCAGAAAAGTTGGAATCTTCATTGCATTCCATCTTTTCTAGACTTTTTGCGGAAAGGAAGGATTACAGTGGCTTGGCAGTGCTCGTTAAATGTGGTATTGACTATCACAGAAGCACAAACGCCGAGATGCAAAGCATTGCAGCGGCGTCCATGGTAGTCAATATGGCGGGATGCATTACGTTGAAAATCTCCTCGGTGTATTTCAGGTGCGGTGCCAGGCTGCGAGAGGAGGACTTGGAAGTCCTTCTGGACTGTTCGGGCGCTGTTATTGCGGCAGGGGACTACAACTGCAAACACCGATCATGACACTCAAGGCTTAACTCTACTTGTGGGGTTCGGCTTTACAACCATGTGATGCGAAATGGGTATCTTATTCACAGCACCGAAGAGCCGACACACCATCCTTTCAATCATCTTCAGGCACCGGATGACTTTGCAATATCTAAAAACTGTAAGTTCAGTATTGCTTCTAGAATCTTGTACGACATCTCTAGTGACCATCTACCTGTTGTTCTGGAGGTAGGTAATGGGCATTTCGTGGAGGAGGAAACTCCTCCAAGGAAAAGAGTTGATTGGGAACTATACAAGTCATTCATCAAAGAGTTTCCAGCGTCCCGGTCATACATAATGAGAACAGAAGTGATGCTGCTCAATCGGAGTGGACAAGTTTCGTTCACCAAACTCTACAAAGTGCTGCTGTGCTTCCGGTGCGGCGACACGGCAGACCTTTTCTCCCTGCTGGCATTCGTCGAAAAATTTCTGAAAAGAGGGCTGCGATTAAGCAAGCAAAAAGGTCTTGTCATCCTGATGACATTCGTAGAGCGACGAATCTCGTCCATGAAGTAAGAAATGCACTCCATGAATTCCGCGATGAGCAGTGGAGCGGCTTTCTGGCGGGGATGCGGGAATCAAGTAATGTCTCTCTGGAAAGTGGCAAAATCGCTCAGAAACGGAAGGCAATAACAACTACCACATATTCATGGTCCTGGAGGCATAGTTTTCAGGACTGAGGATAAAGTGGAGGTTTTTGCTGACGTTATGGAAAGGAAGTTCTCTCCCAGTTATGATCTAGACAATGACCTTGACGAGGAACGACAAATTGTAAGATCTGTCAGGAGATACTTCAGAGCGAATGGCGATACCAACATCGGTGCTAACATCGGTGTCTCCTTTTCAGAACATTCTTCTACGGAAGACTCTTCCGATGAATCTCAGCATAGCACATCAACGGAATCCTCTGAAATTCCGTTTTGCACACCAGCAGAGCTCCAAGGCCACATTAAGGACCTAAAGGTGCGTAAAGCACCTGGAGAGGATTAAATCACCAACAAAGCACTGAAGCTGCTTTCGCTCAAGGCTTTTACTTATCTGGTGGCAATAATTAATGCATTGCTCCGAACTCATTACTTTCCTAAGGCGTGGAAGGTAGCTGAAGTCATCATGATCCCCAAGAAGACAGGTTCGATATTCCCATTACCGTCCCATTAGTCTGCTCTCAGCTCCTTCTAAGCTCGCTGAAAAGGTGATTTATCGTAATCTTGAGAATTTCTCGTCAGATTACCATGTGATTCCTGACGTGCAATTCGGCTTTTGGTCTGAGCATAGTACGGAACTACAGGCAGTTAGACTGGTGGAGCGTGTAACCAGGGGGTTCACCCTGAACAAAAGTACTGGTATCTTGCTTTTAGATGTATCAAAGGCATTTGACAAGGTGTGGCACATGGGCCTCTTCTATAAGCTCATCCAAAAGGGTTTTCCATTTTGGCTACTAAAACTGTTGAAATCTTTCCTAGAAGGAAGGAAGTTTCGGATCAAAATCAACAATATGTTGTCAACAACATGACCCGTAAGAGCCGGTGGTCCTCAGGGTTCGGTCTTAGGCCCAATCCTTTATTCACTTTATATACATGACGTTCCTTGCCCCAGCAAATGTGAAGTCTATATCTATGCTGACGACACTGCATTGCTAGCCCAGTCTTGTTCTGGTAACCGGGCTCACGACAGGCGGCAGAGTGCAGTGGAGGAAGTACTGGAGTGCGCGGATCGGTGGTTGATCAAAATTAATACTTCGAAAACGCAGGCGATCTATTGTACTAAAAAACGTTGCGGTGCCCCCTCAGAGATATCAGTGAATGGAACTTGTATACCATGGGAGCAATCTGTCAGGTATCTTGGAGTCGCACATGCAGAGACTGCAAGTCCTGCAAAACAGAACCCTACGCACAATTACTAACGCCCCTTGGTACGTGTCAAATGCGACTATTCACAGAGATCTTGATATGATAAAACAACAGACGCAGCGGCGTTATAATCAAGCGGAATCGCACACCAATCCTCTGTTGCGTGATTCAGTAGACTACACAGTCGAGCAAGTTCGCAAAGATTCCAGGCCGCGCCTCGCACTGTGATCAAAATTAAATTGTAAATTCAGACCACCCAAAACTATTTCAGTATACAAAACCGATCAAAATTATTTTATTTACAAAATAATTCCAGTAGTCAAAGCAATAATACTTAAGCGATTTCAAATGATTTACTTCTTTTCTTCGCTCTATTTCTTCCTTCCTTTCCTTCTTTCTCTTTTCCCCTTAAACATGTTTGGTATCTGGGTAGCCAGACCTGACAGACTAAAAGACCGACGAGACTTTTAACTAAGAGCAAAGGTCCACCGGACCGCTCTGACGAATAATGACGAATAGTATATGTTATCTAATGTAAGTAATGAAAGCTGCAGTGATTCATACTATTTCGTCAGTCACTCTTACCTGATTGTGTATTTCTTTTTTTGACAGGACAAAGCTTTTATATTCACTCTCAGGCAGAAAAGTTCGATCGTATTGTCCCGTTGGCCTTTCCCGTCCAAGATGTGCGATTCTCTAGAAGCGGCATATGCATTCAAGCCTCTCAGTCGTTCGCTACACATCCCACCACGGTAATGCTGGCTGCATTTCGCTATAGTGCATTATGCATTAACGTTAAGCATGTATAACCAACCAAGTAGAAACCTATTATTGGTTCACCGGTCTCATCCTGTACCTTGCTCAGCATCATCCGCCTCAATATTGGTTTAATGTCAACCCATTTGCGCTTGCTTACATGCCTGGCAAAATTGTCAGCAGAGAGCCACTCGTCGAGCGTGAACTCCTGCTATCTCAGGTAGTCGAGTACATGATTAAAATATCCTCGTCGTTGCATTGTTCGCAGTTCGCGTACTCTCTCTGAATTACCTTTTTCAATTAGCTGTCAAATCAACCATGTCCTGCGAGGAACTGTACAGTATAATAATCTATCCATACCGCTTTCTTATCAATCGAAGTTTTATAACTAGGATCAGCCCTTTATCAACCTTGGCCAGTTGTATCTCATCTCCCCTGCCATCTGACAATAAGGTCCTCTCTTTCGTCGCTTTTAGGTTCGGGCTCATAGAGCGCGCAACTTTCCTCACCCAGCCAGTCATATGGCGGGACACCACCCACCACCAGCAGTGCATCGGTCGACACAGTTTTGTAACTGCATAAAACGTAAAGCACTGCTTTTCGATGGCTTTTGAGCATAAGCTGTCTATAAATGATGTAGGGAAACTATATCATTTCACATTTCTGCTAACGTTCACACAGTAAGATTACTATGTATTATAAAGGTAGAACACGGTCCATTTTTTAATAGTTAAATATATACCAAGCTTCGTGGTTGATGTAGCTCAGAGCTCAGTTTATTCTATAAACGTTTATAAAGTGATTTTTTAAAGTCATTTTTGCAACCGATCAACTTCATTGGCGCAGCCCGCAATAGTATTTGAGAACTTGACGCTGACTATACTTCCACGTTGCGAAGTTGACCATCCAGATAGATTTCAACATTTTACTCGAAGAACCGAAAACCCCAGGAGGACCAACAGATCGACTACCAGAATCGCTGTATCTTTGGGTCACCTGTAAGTCGAACATTTCCTTATTTTCCATTTTTCCTTTTTACTGTGCTATTTTGGGTAATATTTTCGTTATCCTGAAAATACACTAGTTTTACACTTACAGTTTTTAATATTTCTTGACAATTTGTTTTATTGCGAGTATTTGTCTACATTCATACACATTATTTACTTGTAAGTTATCGGCAAACATTGGTAATCAACTATATTTTCATAAACACACCACTATCTTTATTGTTAGAGCTCCGTTTTTAATAGTATCTATACAATGGCAGGTAAGGCAAGTACCACCATTTCAAATATAAGCCTTGCTAAGTCATTGGCAGAATTTTTACCGATATTCGATGGCGGTTCAAGCCATTTGGAAGGTTTTGTTTATAGATGTGATAAATTTTGTAATACTTACGGCAACTCAAACGATAGACACCTTAAGGCGGCTCCGACGCAGTGAGTTTCAAGCCATTTACAAGGATTCAGCTGCTTCGAAACTGACACTAGGCGCACTTTTTGAAATTTTGTTTTTGCATAAGTTTTATGATGGGTTGAAGTGCGCACTTTTTCTGTTCAACTTCACGATTTTTTTTAAAAAGAATCTAGTGAAAAAACTGAAAAAGTGGCTCTATAGCACCCTGTGGGGTTTTGTTTTCAGCATACTTTGAAAATTTCATTCAAACATATCAAAAAATAAAGCATCAATTTCTAAGCGCGCAAACCTATACAAATCGTATTTTGGACGAGTTTTGTCTACTGTTTCGTGCTGCCAACCCAAGCGTTGCGGTGCAATGTACGGACTAAGAAAGGACGTAGTCAGATAATTTGGTGACCCTATTTCATATAATATCGCATAGATAAGTCGTTCTGCAAATAGGTGCTCATAATCGCGATCGCTGATACTCCTCGATTTTAAAGCCGTTTTACTTCCCACGCCAATGGCGAGGAAGTATTGTAATCGCGAAAGATTTCTAAAATGAGATGTTATGTTTTTTTAAGTCATATGACATCTACATCACGAAAAACTATATCACTCATCATCAACTTGGAAATTACCGCTCGGATTTTTATGAAATTTCCACACGGGGTTACTAGTATGTCAAAGCTTTGTAGTTTTAGTCCAATGGCTAGGGTGCTATAGTTAAAAAAGAAAAAGTAACAATTGCTGAAACTCCGATTTTGACGTTACAGGGGTTCCTTATCATTGACATAAAAAAATGTACTGCTTAAAAAGTGGGGGTTGGGGGAAGGTGATTCTAAATGTTGCACCTTTGATATCAGTGAAACACGTTCTATTATTAAGAAGCTTCTGGTCCTAGTGATTACCGGAAATTTAGCTAACGAAAATCCGACGAATAATGTGTTCGCGATTTGAAAAAATCGGTACGTGCTCTATAGGTTTGACACCAAGAGCCAACAGATCTATCTGCAACTGCCGACAGTAGGGAAGAGTGAATTCGGAAATCACTCCAGTCAAGTATAGGGGAATTTAGCGTGGAACTTTATCGATATGTCAAGGAAATATGTTTTTGAGAACGTAGATTTTATACCTGCATCTTCATTTGAATTTCATGACCCGTGAAATGTAGCCATTTCGCCATTACCTTCAATTTGTGTTCTGCAGTTTGTGATGTTTTTCTGGATATAGACAGGACATAATTGCCTAATGTGCCAGCACAGCTTTTTAAAAAATTTTGGCTTTGTGCAAGAATTATGGTGGGTTGAAATGCTTACTATTTGTGCTCAACTTCTTGATATTTTAGAAAGATCCTAGTGGATAAAATCGAAAAAGTGGATCGTTAACACCCTGTGGACTTTGTTTTTAGCACGCTGCAAGAGTTTCATTTGGAAATAATAAAAAAGCTGTGAAGTGCAAATCGGTTATTGGGCGAATTTCGTCGTCCTGCCAGTCCAAGCGACGCGACGGTGCGTTCCGACTAAGAAAAAATGTATTCAAATAATTTGATATCTTTAGTAAAATAAATTCAAGAACTCAAATTCAAATTCGTTTATTCATGTCAATAAACACAATTATGTTTACAAGGGTCATGTGGTACATGGTAACAATTGCACGAGGGTCATAAAAATATATTATGCCGTCAAAATAAGAGGAAACAGTTAGGTAGTTTTTGCAAATCAATAAACAGGTAGGCTTATACCTGGATTAAGTACATTACTGTAATAGGTAGATGGAGACGATGCTGCCAGAAATGGATGTGTGCGATCAATAAACAAACCACAAGATTGAACTGCCGTGTCCAATGATTTTTGTATTGCCTTTTTTATTGCCTTACTAGAAAAGTCTGTTGGGTATATGATGGAGTTTACTAGAACTTTACAGCTTGTTGTCTGTGTTCTTCTACAAACTTCACCAAATTGAGACGCTGTCAACCTTATCTTCCGATGAAGGCGCCACAAAGTACAGTCCTGTGATTTGGTGACTTGTTCGATCTGCAAAATCTCGTCATAACTTTTTCTAAGTTTCCCTAAAAATTCTTGCTTAGCAACCTCCAAATCAATGTCGTTCATGTCAGGTTTTTGACAGAATTCGCCATAAAACTATTCATTTTCTTTGGAATTGCTATCCGAATTGTTAGTTATTTTTATATCAGCTTTTTTTGGCCTGAGTTTTTTTTGAAGATTCTTGCGTTTGAGTCTTTGTCCAATCTTAGCGATAAGCGAGGTTGGACTATGCTTAGAACGCAAATGTATTTGGACCACATAGACAGGCCGCTGGGTATTGTGGCTCACTACAGCTGCAGCACATCTTCCATGCTATGACCTATTCTTGCAATAATGTATTCGCTTACCTCAATGTATTTTGCGATTATAGAGTTGAACTGCTCCACACTATTGTTATCCTCATCATGAATTAAACTCACTGCATTCGTAATTAAAATTGTCGCATATGACCTTTTATTGTCCATTATCAACCTTGATAAAAAAAGGCACTCAAGAACAATCACACCAACAAGAGTACAGCACAACAATTCAACAACACAATAACGACGAACAATAACAAGGGTAGAACAATACTAAATGATCACTTGCTGAGTACCAAAATAGGAAACGATTTACAGGCTAGATCGCTAATCGAAATCTGACTCTGTTATTATAAAAATTTACCTTGGTATGCACCAGCAGTCATCCTTTCCTCTTTTAAAGCAGCGCCGACGCCCGTCTAGGACCAGCACACCCTCGTTTCCTTTTCACCCCCCCGTTACCTCAGCAGATGGTGCTCGTGATTTTAGGAGCCCTACTAACGATTTCATTTTCAATGTAGTTTGCTCAAAATTGCAAGGTAACTTTTCTGATTTTTTATGTACAGACCAGACAACAAATTGGTCTCAAGGCAAAGCCGCTCTGAGAGAAAATTACGGAGACAAAATAGATCGTCAAACCTTAACGAGAGAATTTTGAGACATTCTGACAGATGACGTGATTTAAGAATCAATCCATCCTAGAATTCTCGGAACGATAAAAGCTCATGAAATCTAGAATCGAAGTCAAAATTCAAACAGACATCCATTTCCCGTTCGAACAAAATGTAGCTCAATTAAACCATAACGAACTAAACGCATTATATATTCTTATGGCCAACTCAGATGACCAGTTTAGACTCTTGCTCCACCAGCAACCAACGAACATTAATACAGCATCAAATATTGTAATTCGCCACCCATTGTAATGGAATGAAAATAAATAGCCTAATTAGAAGACAAGATCATCCTACAAAAGTTCACAAGCAAAATCCAAGGAATTTCCACAACTGTCGCCCGCAACAAAAATTCCAGAAGAATTTTGTACCACAAAATAATTATAACAATAACTTTAATTCAAGACTCCCGATACGATTCGAAGCCCCATTTCTATCACAGCCAATTAACGTACAACCAAGGCCTTTAAGGCAGAATTTTCCTACGAATAGAAAAGTATTTTTCCCTTCTTTTAACCAGAATGTATTATCTCCCATAAATTCTCATAAGCCTTCGAATAACCCAGAACCTATAGATACTGCTTCATCTAGAGTAACCTAGAATAGAAGAAATGATTCCACACATAATTTCAGACCAAATGGTCAAATTTTCAAGTACGACACCGCCAAACATCAATTTAGCACCCTACCTTATATTCAATTAAATAACGTTCCAGCAAAATTACTTATAGAAACTGGATGCCTGTGATCTTTACTATTTATGTATTGCTGAAAAATATTTCTCAGATCGAATTTTCGGACACAATACCCCCATTTCTACTTGTACTGGTAATAAAACGAGATAATTCAAACCTTTAATTCCACTATTATCAGAAATAGGTATTACTGCCGAACTGGAATTCATATTGTTTCCTTTTTACGACTATTTTGATGGTATTCTAGGCACTCGAGATTTAAGGAAATTAGGTTTCATTATAGACTTAGAAAACCAAAGAGTACGTAGTAAATATGCAGAAATCCTCTTCCACTCGAGTCAACAATAATTTAGAAAATAACTCGTTTTCCTGAAGATACTGAAATCATGATTAACGAAATAATGCACTTTGATCATAAGTTTAAATTTACAGTATAAGAAAAGTGAAAGACCAAGTAGCAACGATCGAGATTCAGAATCCGACCAAACAAACCCAAATATTAAATCTCAATTTCGACTTTGCTTCACGGTTCGGAACAATCTTTTCCCCCGACGAACATAAATGTTTCAATATAGAACAATCCCTAGAAGAACTGGATAACGATAGTAAGACACAGTCTATTTTTAGGGCATGCAGCATCGCAAGATAGAAGCCATTCAAAAGTCTTCATGCCGAAAATGACGAAAAAAATCAAATCGTTTTTAGTTCTTGTTGGATATTTTAGGAAATTCATAAAAAAATTTGCTCACGTTACACGTGCCATGACCGGATGTCTGAAGAAACATAAACTTATTATCCATACCAACTTCATATTGCGGTTTTTCAAATCCTTGTCGAACATTCTAGAGCTAAGAATATCGCTGGCAACTCCAAAAAGTTGAAATGATTATCTTCTCGGATTTTATCCACCAGCCATGCGTAGTCTCCACGTTACAACAAGCACCCCTATTTTTCAGTCCAGGAAATGAATGTAAAATCCCCAATGGAAAATAAAATGTTACGTACATCTACAATGAACCAAATTGGCACGAGTCATCTGAAGATACAAGCAGAAATAAAGAATGACGACACTACTGCTTCTGTGCACATTCGACGACACATATGGCTGAATACTTTCCCTGTAACCCCATTATGCTTATTTGCGTTTGCCATGTTTGCTCCCAAGTTTGGTAGGAGGACAAGGACACAAGAAAGACTCCAAAAGGACCCCGAAGTCCAGATGTATCTTCACGAAGTTACCCCGGCAGCTCATGAGCAAAATCAGCTTCCCTCATTTGCTCATCTTGGCGTAGAAGGAATTCTGTAGGGGAACTTACATACGTTAGTATAATTATAATTACTGCAAATGTTTACACATTAAGACGTCTACCAAACTCCACAAGGATAGATTTAAGCAACATCAATTTAGCAAACTCTCTAACTTATATTCAATTAAATAATATCCCAGCAAAATTACTTATAGACGCGGATCTTTACTTAGACTCTATTTTGTCGAAACATATTTGTCAGATCGAATTGTCACACACAATACCCCCAAAAATGAGTTTTCAAAAATTACTTTAGAAACGTTTATTGAATATACTGAGATAAAAATGGGTAGTGTTTTATAATACATAGTTATCTTAATTTGTAATCATTAGCAGTAATGATAATTATTCAAAGGTATGTAAGTTTCCCTAGATAATTATATTGTCTAGACATAGCTCATATATCCGAGAAATATGACCACACTACAAATATTGTCCATTTAGATGCATCATTAAAGGTAACTAAAATCCATGTTAAATCTCCCGGAACTCCTGTAAAAAATATCTGGTCGCCAAGTTTACACAGTGCACGTATACTTTTCAAACAATTCAGCTTGACAAATTACAATAAACTTACAAGTACATAATTTTAACACTAGGCAAAGTATGTAAACAGTCAAGTGTATGTTTAATACAAGTTGATTGGCAGTTCGCCAAATATTTAAGGGGCCTAGAATTAAAAATGTTCAGAAACACCGAAACAAGTAACAATTTAGGAGACGATTAAAAGATTTCCTTATTATCTTTACTTTATTAATGTGTAGTGTTTTGTATTTGCTTGTAGCATTTATTGATGGAAAATCATGTTGTGTGGATAAACATTTTATTGCTTAGGTACTAGTCTTGCTATTAGGTTATGTTGTCTTATTTGTATAGCATGTTTCTTTCTGCAACTACTGCATGTAACGTTTTTGGTTCACCTGTGTATTTTCTCAACTATACGTGATTGTCCGATGCGAATACCCATAGAATCAATAATTATTATTATTATGTTATTATCTAATATATTTTGTCCGTCTGACCTTACGAATGAAAGTCGATTCTTATGTAGAGTCTCGTCTTCATTACGAATCTGCTGACAAAAAATGTGGTTTCTATTCAAAGTTATGAACTACCAAATGATCTCTGAGGTCGTTATCTAGGTGACCAGTAAATCCCTCTGTGAATCTCCTGAAACTCTTCTAGAAACTTTTCAGAAAAATGCATAGCTGCCAAGTTTTAACAGTGTTCAGGACACCATGTGCACTTATGACTCAGTAAAAAAATCACAGTACAAGAAAGAAAAACTGTGTTTTCAATTTAACTCAGGTCTTGTGTGAGTTTTGGTTCGCCCTTTGGTTTTGACCTCTCACATAATGATGTCCAGTTAAATCATTTGGGACGCCAGGAATAGACTAGCCCTAATGTAATGTTGCTATTTTTCTTTCTCGCATAATATTGGATCAAAATAAGTACTTTTGGAAAGCTTTATGTTTTATTTGATAGAAGGAGTTTTCATTCGTCTTCGATAAAAAAAACGCTTATGCCGGTACTGCTTTATTCACAATGATACCGGTAACGATAAACTAGCTCCGCAATTTTGATTATACAGTATTTCTGATCACAGATTTGTGATCAACTACCAGAAAAAAGATTTTACTTACTTTATCAAGATCAATGCTTTCTGGGCATCGGCTCCATTGTAAATTGATAGCTGCAGTATTAAGGGACGTATCGGAAGTCGTTCCTAGAATGGCAGGACACCTCAATGGCCTCCTTGATTTTCATAGTTTCTCCTGCCTTTCAGAAAGGCAGGGGTATTTCTAGATTTCTACTGTTTCGTGTCAGTGTTGTGAGGTTATATTTTCATTTTGAATTATAAGAAATTTCTGGTTGATAAAACTTGATTTTTATCTACCTGTATTTGCTTCATATTCAAAAGAAAATATAACCTCACAATAGGAGAACGTTGATGCTGTTACACGGAACAGTAGAAATCTATAAATATCCCAGCCTTTCTGAAGGAGAGAACATGCTGAAAATCAAGAAGACCATAGAGGCGTCCTACAATTATTTTAGGAACGACTGACGGTACGGGCCACAAGGCAGTCTAGAAGTAGGTGCCAACACTATATTCAAATAGCCAAAGCTGGATGAATCAAGATTTTGTTTTACGTAGTATGTCGAACTCTGAATTTTATAACGTCTTAATTTACAATAGTACTTTTTAACCATACTACGAGCATTCATTGTAACATATGGTGTTAAGTGGACAAGGTCATTGCTCATTTTTTTTTGTTCAGACACATGTGAATCGCGATTAGATTGAATAAATTTGGTGAGTATGAATTTTTATGTAATGGAGTCAGACCACGAGGAATATTCCGATTGGAAATAAAACCACACGACAAGCCCCCGAGACAAAAACTATAGTCAGTTAAAAGTTTTAACATCTACCGTCACAACGTTGAAGTCTTTATAGAATGTGGCTGTTTTATGCTCTTTTTTTTACTAATATTAATTTTACATTAAATTTAAGACTTAGTGTTGTGTTTAGTATATAAACCAAATAAATAAATAATCTCTGCTAACATCAATTCACTTACTCAATCGGCACTCCAGCATTGAAATAGACTATCGAAGGGTAGATTAAGGCATCTGGCAAAGGGACTCCAGTGGTTCGTAGGATCCACGTCTAGGATGGAGGATGTACCTCTCCATGATTCATATAGCAACGCTATAGCAACACGTTTTATTGAAAAAAAGCAGTCTTGGGCGTCGAAGGAGAGGTGAGGTGGATGAGACCCACGCAACCCTCTAAATCGGCCGATGAGCCTCCCGCTAATAAATTTTCTGACTCCCATGCGGCGGATATCACCTGGTGATTGCTTTAAATTTTTTCTCGTCATTGTTCTTTCAATTTTTAAATTGTAGGAAATCACAGGATGCTAGGCCTGCCAAAAACAGTGGGTAATTCAAAGCTGCTGGGCAGACATAGCAATGCAGGATGTATGTATGTTTAGGAGCATGGTCCTAATGAAATAGTACGTTACCTATTAACTTCCTCAGACGTTTCTGTAACGCTACATGCCGTTGTTAGACTTTTACAATGTTCTGGTTAAGATGTAATATGCGGACTGGCGCGATATTGGCTTTCACAAGAAGTTTTCTCGCAGTTAAAATCCTGATCTGCGCGTTTGATCATGAGGAACGGTATATTCTCCAATAGTCGCCACAATTTTCTGGTAAGTTTGAGTGGGCACAATACTTTTTTGAAGATATGAACGGTAACTTTGGATATACAGACATTTTTATAGCTCTTGGTAAAAATTTACAAAAGTAGAGTAATATGTTTTTGGCTTCTTATAAGTATTTTTTTTGTTAATAACTTAATAAATGTATTCCACCTTTCTGATAATTTAACGACATAGTCCATACATTTAAGTAAGCCCAAAAAGTAGACCATGAAGTTTTTCATTTTTACTTTCCACACGACAAGCGAGAAAGTGTTGCAACTAAGAAAAATTTCTGAAATGATATATGCTTTTTCTCATCTTAGTAATTTTGTCGTCTGTCTGTCTGCTAATCTTTGGTCCCTCTATAACTTGTGAAGTACCGCTCGGATTTTTAATCAATTTTGATATAAAGTTACTATTGTGCTAAGGACGAAAAGGCTATGTAGTTTTTTGAAAATCGATTTAGTAGCGATACATGTTAATTGACACAATTTTTGGTCCTCTCTACCTCAGTAAAACATATAGCGAGAACTTGCTCTCATTAAATCTCTAAGAATCAATTCTTAATAATCACAGAAAGCTTCAAATATGTCATACTTTATTTTTTCACTTGCTATGACTATAATTTTTATATATCGATAGAACGTCCTAGCTAAATAAAACTAGTGAATTGTACTTACCTGTAATAGCTGCGATATACTGATAAACCCTATTCCTATCATCAGGTTTCTCCAACCCGACACTAGGCAGAGTCATATTGCAAAAAAAACTCAATCTCCACACACTTTTGTCATATGTAAGACACTGGTAATTTTCCGAAACTGTATGCAAATATGTATCTGCTCTGGGTTCAAGATGATTCGCCCGAATGAAGATGACTGCCAATAGACCGCCTTAAAGTGTCTTAATTGATCACAATGAAAATAAGTTAACTGATCAGAATTGATCCGCGTGCGATGTGGACATGCTTAGGAATCTGGCGAGCATGATTTTTTCCGATGTGAAGTTGCCTATTGTAACAAACGTACAGGTGCTTTAGAACTGTACGTGTTCCTAGCTAATATTTAACGTTTGCGATAACGGCTAGATCACCAGTCCGGTAGGTTTTCTTTGTTTTCCATGAGCACAAGGTGACACACTCGATGCGTTTCACAAAAAACTACTACTCAATTTTTCTCAGCTCGTCCATACCATCTAAAGATAATCCCCGTTTTTCACCAAAACGTATTACTCGATTTATCATTTAAATGACCTTATCATATTTTTTTAATAACTTGTATGGTATCCATATTGAGGTGTCAGTTATTTCAAAAAACATAAACGACAATTTAATGCTCATAAATATATTCCATAAGTTGCCTCCCATCCTGCAGTTCACCATATAGCTTACTGTCCCCCTCTCTCACCTCCTGAATGCGTAGGTGGCGCCACTAATGAAGTTACCAAATTTCCGGGCTGCAAGTTGGCTGTCAATTCACTAATGAAATCAAGGAAACAAAACGTGCTTGCAAGTTTATTGCATTACCACTGTAACGCTCTAAAAGGCGATACTTGTAATTTTTTGTGGAAGTACAGGTTAATTAATAATAATATTGAAGGAAGTTATTAAATATATAGTTCATCAAAAAAATTACCTTAAGAAAATATTGAAATAAGGCAACGTGTCGCGTGATTATAAGCGTTTCTCTATGTTTCAAAGGCAAACGGACGGGAAAATCTATGATATATGAAATATACGCTGATAGGAGCGTAAAGTCAATGGGGTTCGAAGTGTACAATTAGACTGCTGCCACAAAGAATGATATATACCCTCCCACATGCCCACAACACCCAATCTTCATCCTTTCTTGAAAATGTTCAGAAGCCTCTCAAACATCAAAAAACAAAGGTTGCGCAGTTTTCACTTTGTTCGTGTTTTTGCCCCTAGTTCTGCCACCACTGGACTGAATTTCCAAAGCTGTCCTTGGCAGTAGTAACACAGGAATTTCATTAAAATACGAACGATACTTCTCAAGTTATAAATGAGTGACATAGTTTTTCGTGATGCACATGTCATATAACATCCAAAAAAGGTAATCATTTTCGAAAATTATCTCGATTACCATACTTCCTCGCCAGTAGGCGTGGTAAGTAAAAAGGTAATCATTTATCAATAATTAATGATTACATCAACTTACGGAAAATGCCCACCGTATTTTTTTCAAAATGTTTTTCTTTTTTTTTACTTGAAAATAATTTTCTCCGATATCTTTATTTTACTACCAAACAAAATGACAAAAACCTTAATTTTTCCATCCGGTGGTGTTACCCTCTAATACCAATGTTTTATGTTAGTAACAGTTTCAAGTGTAGGAGTCGCGGGTAACATCTGGTGCAAAAGTGGGGCGATCTAGGCCGCGCTGTTGCCGGCTTGACGCAAACTGTGGAGAGTTTCGCACTTGCCATAATAGATGATTGAAAAGTCGACGTTGAATTCGCACATAAGGCCATCTCTATAACATTCCTTGCGTATCAACTAGTAAGTGTACAATCACATTTTTACGTTTTTCCGTATAGGGGTTCAGACGTGATGCTAACATACTGGACAGACAATCACATTTATATAGAGAGATTAAGAAATAGTTAGAATTTTTCTAGTGCAGAAAATGCGTTGAAAAATGAAATGAAAAGTCCTTAAAAGAACAGGTTCCTAAAATCGGAATTCTTGGAATATCATGTATAGTGTGTCCAAGATGATTTTCCAAAGGATTCGGGAAACGATTGTTGCTCAGAGAGCAGTTTATTATAATAATATATATATATATATATATATATATATATATTGTATATATATATTGCCCAACAGATACATTCATTTAAAGGATTGAGTACAATTTGACGGTACAGTATTTTTAACTACAATCATATCTCGCCCAGTTTCTGAAAAAAAATGAAAGAACAAAATGACTAGTTACGCCTACATGTCTTAAATGTTATAAATTGAATAATAGTACTTGCTGAATACAGCTAATATATCTTTGACTTTATCATGATAACTGTCACAATTATCAGCTATGGCGTTCAAGCTGGAGCACATAAAGTACGCGGGTGACTTAATCATAACATTAGAATTTGAAGTTTTTAAGCAAAAAGCGAGAAATCTTCGAGAAATGCGGGACGGTACTTGAAAATCAATTTTATATATTTGTTATATACCGTTTGCAAGGGGGCAAGCTTTGATTAGGGTTGCGACATTGTTTTACAAAATGGAAATTATCGCACTGTGATATACATTTTAAATATAGAATGTCCAAATTACCCTCTTTCTGAAATAGCTGGAATATCTCTGGCATAGAACTTGCCAAAAAGTTCCTGGTGAAATGGCTCATGAAATGTTCTATTTCCAAAATTCTTGGATCAATATCAGGGTTTGAATCTTTGGAGTATCCAAATGGAAATTCTGGGTGCCAAGTTTTAATCAAGGATTCCACACGTTTATACCAATCAGAAAAATATATATTGCCGAGTTCTGTGAATTTGATACAATTTTTTGACTTATACTCATTTATCGAACATCATTTTATCACACCACCGTAAAATGATGACATCTGACATGTTAGAACGGGTTCCATTTGTCGGCCCGACTGCAACTTGTACCGATCTGTCATTCACGTTCCTTGAAGAAATTCCACTTTGTGTGCCAACCTGCCAGCAATAACACGCCTTGTCGTTCCGATCAATTGTATAAGGAAGTATTTGCAAGAGTATTTAGATGACAACCTTCTATGAGTTGGTGACTCATTCTGAGTAGGTCTAACTATTGTAAACAAACTACACGTTTTTAAACAATGGATACAATAACAAATAACCAGAGGTAAATCTACACTACGATCAGTTAGTCACTGTTGTTCCTATGTGTGCACAAACCTTAGTGATTTGTTTCGAATTCAGAAAACCTCGATATAATGTATACGCATACGCCACGTTATGCAATCTAACATAAATATGTATTAAGATAACAATAGGCGATTATATAGTCTCGTTAAAGTGATTTTTTTTTAATTTTAGACAATTAGATTGCCATACTGATGGAAATATTAAGTGAAATCTTATCAAACGAAAAGACACATTTCGAATATGTGTTCTGCCCCAAATTTGATCGAATGATGCCTCACAATTTTTTGACGGTCATATTGACTTATATTCAAATTTAGCGCCTCAAATTAAGTTTATGTAGACTCTGAATCCCACACCAATTTAACAGTTTTTTTGGAGGCGCAGTAACAGTACTGGAATTACTTTCGCACATCCAGCTCCCTAAAGCCGCATACAGACCGAGATTCCAACGCAAGCCAAGGCAACATAAACCAACGATTCCCAAGATAGCGGCGTTGGATTTTAGATCTGTACGCGGCTTTACACACACATATGCCAACGCAATGCGCAGACGGTTGTTTGTGTAAACTCAGTCATACGTTTCGTAATTTTGTCTCACCGCCTTGAAAATATTTTTGTCAATTAATGAATCTTCCACATTTATGTTATACACTCTCATAATGACAATTTGCTTGTCATGAGCCGTGCGATTTGGGTTTACCTTTTGTTGATTTTTGATATAAAACACCAGGGGTCTGCTCCGCGGTTTTACCCGCAGAAAGTATAGGTGGTATCACTAATAAAGTAACCAAATTTTCAAATCGTGCAAGTTGGTTGTCAATGCCATCAAAAAAACAAAACGTGATCGGAAGTTCATGGTATTGCTAAAGAACAATGTTTGGTAACAGTTTTAAAATGAGACGTCTATATCGCTTAACGGTTACAGGTTGAGTGAGGCGATGGCTGGCGGCGCTGTTGCCGGCTTCACGCTGACGGTGGATATTTTGTTACTTGCAAGACGATCACGCTAGGAAAGCTAATGTCCAAATACAGTACATGCACGATGCAAGTGCCTTATTTATAAACTCTTCGCCAGAGACATCATGTGAAATTCCATTAAGTCGTTTTGGCTCTATCCCGTCAAATAGACATTTCAAATTTATTTCCTGGTAGCCTAGGTGCTATTCCAGACTATAGTCATCTCTGTGCCAAACTTCATCCAGATCTCTACAGTCATTTTGGCGTGATATAGTAACAATCTACACTATCTCATTCATGATATTATACCATATAGCACGGATTAGTACTGATAATAACGCTTGACTATACGTTAAGCTCCAGGCAATGTACAGTTAGTCAATCTGCTTACGTATTGACGTAACCGCCAGAAACCTCTAAAAAACCGTATACGAGACTATTTTTTGACGAATACCCATTACACATGATATTATGTTACTAATAGTATGAATGAATGAATGAAAACACGAAATTAGAGGCATACCGGCCACCACAAGGAGCCAGCGCATAGGCCACTCAGATGGGGCCCTTGTGCAGCTCCACATTTCTTAGACCTCAAGCCTCGCCAGTCTAGCGAAGTTGAGTATGACCTTGAGCCCAAGCTCCTTTAATACCCTGGGGGTCCAAAGTAATGGACCCCAGTATAGTCTGCCTGTAGTAGCTAAGAGCCTCGCAACGACACAGAACGTTCGCCAAGGTCTCTTCTTCTACCCCGCAGCGCTCACACAAGGGATCCTCAGCCACCCCCATCACATGCAGGTGGCGCCTGGCCTGGCCAGACAACAGTCCCACCACAAACCTTAGGTTGGCTCTATCCAAAGATAAGCAGAAACGTCCGCCCTTAGCTTTTCACTTTTCGTTGAGCTGCAAGTTCCCTTGCAAAGCAGTCCTTCAGATTCTTCCACTTTTTCTGTATTTCTTTTCCTGCAATATGAAACAATTATTGTTAAATTCGAATAAACATGTAATTATTATTTTTATTGATACAATTTTTTGTTTCAGCCACTGGTAACAGTTACAATTCTTTACACTTCGAATACCTACAAGGAGCTGTTACAGTCAGAGAAATTGTTAAAGACATCTGTGAACAAATTTGTATATGTGTACAACCAGAGTTTATGCCAGACGTATCCGAAGACAGTTGGTTGAATATTGCCACACAGTTTTATGATAGAACTGATTTTCCAAATTGTATTGGAGCTGTGGACGGGAAGCACATAAGATTAAAGAAACCTGATAAGACCGGCACAGAGTTTTACAACTATACGAGGCACGTCCAGAAAGTAAGTGTACTCAATTTATGTAGGGTTCAAAAAAAATTTATTAAAACCATAATATACTTGGTTACACTTGTACATATGTAAGTTATTTTTCGACATAGTCACCATTCCTCTCGATGCAAGTGGTGAGCCGCGGGATCAATTTTTTGATGCCGGCCTCGAAGAAGTCTCCCGCCAGCTCTTTCGCCCACTTCTCCACCTCCCCCTTCACCTCCTCGTCCGTTGAAAACTTGTTTCCACCCATGTGCCCCTTTAGGGAAGTGAAGAGATGGAAATCTGAAGGAGCCAGGTCAGGGGAATACGGGGGGTGATTCAGAACGTCCCATCCAAAAGAGTCCAGGAGTTGCTTCGTGACGTTGGCCGTGTGGGGTCTGGCATTGTCGTGCAACAGGCAGACTCCCTTCGTCAGCATGCCCCTCCTTTTATTCTGAATCGCCCTTTTCAATTTTTTTAGCGTCTCACAGTAGCTTTTCCCTTCACAACGAGGTAGCGAATGACGGCGCGAATTTCGCACTTGGCGGGAGATACGATCGACATTTTTCGCGAGAGATGTTACTGCGTCAAGAGTTTTCAACACACTAACCTCAGATTGGTCTCTTTTTGAAGGGGAGGGGTCAGGCTACGCGGCAGTGTTGCCAACATGTACACTTACTTTCTGGACGTGCCTCGTACAAATTATTGCTCAATAATTCTTCTCGGTGTAGTTGACGCCGACTATTGTTTAATTGCGATAGACGTGGGAGCATATGGTGCAGGCAGTGATTCTAATGTTTTCAGAAATTCTAATTTCTTCAAAAGACTAAATAATAAGCAACTAAATGTTCCAAATCCACAAAAGCTACCTAATGATGAAATTGGACAACTTATACCGTACGTTTTTGTAGGAGATGAGGCATTCGCACTACCAGAACATGTTTTGCGGCCTTATACCAGAAGAACCCTAACAATGAACCAACGAGTATATAATTACAGACTGACTCGCGCTCGTCAGATGGTTGAATGTACGTTTGGCATTTTAGCCAACAAATGGCAAATTTTCAAAGCCTGTTGTGTTTTGCATAATTTTGTGCGGAAAAAGGATGGTATACGAGTTAATGATGAGTTATACGAATCTCCTATGCAAAGCTGTCATCCGACTGGAACACGGGCTAAAATCTGTGGTCTTAAAATCCGGGATTATTTTGCAAATTACTTTACATCCCCAGAAGGCTCAAGACCGTGGCAATATGATAAAATTTGAACTGTACCGTTTTATAACACCTGAGACTAATAAAGAAAGTAAACAGCATGAAAATACCTTTCTTTTGTTTTCCCGTTGTAGATAATTCCTTCCAATTGCGTATACATTCATACAAACTTCACCCCACAGTTTTTCCTTCAAGTTCTGTCAACTATACTCTTTCAGTTGCTTGTTGTAAAGAGCAGGTCTTTTTTCCACCTCGGTAATTATTCTGTCTGTGTAAAAGACACTATCTAGACCAGTGGTTCCTAACCTGGGGGTAATTACCCCCGCAGGGGTAAAACGGAGATTCTAAGGGGGTAACACGGGATGGCACGAAATAGTATTAAAATAGCAATAAACAAAATAATAGTACGGTAAACGGTAGCACGGCGCTCTCATGCGCGCGGCTGACGGCGACGGCGGCGGGTGAGCTGCGGTGTGGGAGGGGTGAAGCATGACTAGCGGCGGGCCGGACAGGCGGCGATGTTCATTTTGTTTACCTAAGCTTAGGAAGAACACGCATTTTATTTGTTCCGCCGCGCATTGCAGAAATCGTATTTTTAAACGGTTTAAATTCAAAGGTAAGCAGTGTTTGTTAATATCGTCACGTTAATATTGTCACGAGTGATTTGTTTACGTAGGTATGTATTAGTTGATTTTTGTTTTAGGTACCTACAGGTGTTTTTGACATGGCTTCTACTTCATCTGGCAAAAAGCGCACTTATAAAGAAGCATTTCTACAATGGGGTTTCACAAGCATCGTAGACAAAAATATAGAAAAGCCTCAGTGTGTTTTATGTAATAAAGTGCTTAATCCAGAAAGCATGAAACCGAGCAAATTAAAAGAACATTTTGCTAAAGTTCACAAGGAGTTCGCAGATAAAAATATAGATTTTTTTAAGAAAAAGGAGAGGATTCTGAAGTCTTCCCGCATGGATTCAACAGGCAATATACAGAAAGCAAATGAATCATGCCTTCAAGCTTCATACAAAATTGCTTATCGCATCGCACGTAATAAAAAACCACACACTATAGGAGAGGACCTCATCAAACCTTGCTTGTTAGATGCAGTAGCACTTGTTATTGGTGAGCAACATGTAGCTAAGATTAAACAAATCTCACTCTCAAACACTACTATTCAAAGTCGCATATGTGAAATGAGTGCCGATATTCTAGCAACCGTTATTTCTGAAATAAAGGAAAGTCATATGTTTGCGCTGCAGTTGGACGAGTCCACAGATGTTGCTTCGTGTTCACAATTATTGGTGTTTACACGATACATTAAAGATGATGATGTAAAGGAGGAATATTTGTTCTGCAAGTCTTTGCCCACTACTACTCGCGGCGAAGACGTATTTCAAACGCTAAAAGAGTTTATTGAGGAAAATGGCCTAGACTGGTTAAAGCTGATTGGTACTTGTACAGATGGGCATCCGTTCTGGTTTTCAGGCACTCGTGAAGCAAGTTGCTCCTCAAGTTTTCGGCTATCATTGCTTGATACACCGTTACGCTTTGGCTGTGAAAACGCTTCCATCAGATTTGCTAAACACGTTGAGTGACATAGTAAAAATTGTTAATCATATTCGAGGCAGCGCTACTAACTCAAGATTATTCAAAGTTTTGTGCGATGAAGTTGGTGCTACATTTAATGCTCTTTTGTACCATACAGAGGTACGTTGGTTATCAAGAGGCAAAGTTCTAAGTAGGGTTTACGAATTACGAGAAGAAATTGGATTGTTTTTTGAAAATCAGAGAACACAAAAAGAAAAAGAATATTATGCAAAAATTAAAGACCAAACATTTATTCTAAAAATGGCGTACCTTGCTGATTTTTTCACTGAAATTAATAGTCTGAATATTTCACTGCAAGGAAATGAAACGAATATTTTGACGTTGCAGGATAAAATCGCAAGTTTTTTGCGCAAATTGGAACTTTACCAACGCAGAGTTCAAGCTGGTGATGTGTCAATGTTTACACAACTAAGTGAGCAATTAGTAAATAATAAACAAGAGAAAATCTCGTTTGAAAATTCCGTGGTTCAACATTTAACTGCCGTGATAGACTCACTGCAGCAATATTTTCCGAACATGGACAGTCGTGAGTCCTACTCCTGGATTTTAAGACCATTTTCTACTTGCGTCGATATTTTCAAGGACGAAGATGTGTCAGCGAAAGTAGAGTTTCTCGGGCTGCGTGAGAATAACTCATTGAAAGTTGATTTTCAAAATGATAAACTAAGCACATTTTGGCGAAAAGCAGCTGCAGAATATCCCATTATAGCTGACAGAGCTTTAAAAATGTTGATTCCATTTGCTACAACTTACAGATGTGAAACTGGTTTCTCAACTCTTGTTACATTAAAAACAAAAGCCAGAAACCGTCTGAATGTTGAGCATGACATGAGATGCGCGTTGAGTGAAACCGAACCTAATATTGTCAAACTTGCGAATGCAAAGCAATTTCAACCTTCACACTAGTTAACTCCAAGATTTACATATTACTTTACTTTACTAGTTACCTAAACGTGCAATTTCTTAGAATTTAGTTAGATAATAAACATATTTTCGTTCGAATTTGTGTGGTTTTAATTATTTTAAATTGGCTAGGGGTAAACTCAATTCCCATACTTGTTCACAGGGGTAGTGACATTGAAAAGGTTAGGAACCACTGATCTAGACGGTCATCCCTGGTGGACAATTCGTAGTCGGACATTTTAAAATTTAAAAAATCAGCAGCCCAGCGCCGCGCGGCACAGTCGTTGAACACCGAATTTCTATCAACTAATCGAAGGTGCGTGCACGTTCATTCCTGTCCAAGTGACTTATTTTAATTTGCGATAATCGCGTCGCTTCTTGAATAGAACTGGTTGCATCTTTTTAGCCGCGGCGATTATTTAGTCGCATATGCGAGCATTTGTATTAAAAAACTGTGTTTTATTTTTGCGACTAAACGATGGTGCGACCGAAAATCGCATGTGCAAGCCTTGTCCTTAAGTAAGGAATGTCAAAGTCTCTGTGAAGGCTCTCTAGTGAGGTTCTTTTCTGCAAATGCTTTTTGCGAGAAAACAACAAGCCGCCCTTGCGTAGGTGATCGCTGGTTTAATAGCCATCTTGTATAGCTGAACTTTGTTGATCAAACTTAATTTTGAAGTTCTACAAAGCAAAGGGCAGAGTTGCCGAAACGTGATTTGGCATTTAGTTTTTAAGGCTTCAGTGTGCTTCTGCCAGGTCATCCCCTCGTCAAGAGTGACACCGAGATACTTAGCATAACTTTCCCATCGTAGTGTGTCAGTGTATCTGCGTGTTTGCGACTATATTTTATGACAGGAGAGTCAATCAAAGGAAATTTGAGGCTATGAAACGACATTTAAGCGTCATTTCATTTTGATAATATTGTTGCATGCCCAGTTATTTCAAAGAATCCCCCATCCTGTCAATAACCGATGATTATCAGTTACTCTTATTTTGCCTTGCTCTCAGGTATCCACAACAATTTACTACATTACATATGCAGAAAAAACTATCGACCTTGCCCGTCATAAACACAGTAGTTTGCAACTGGAAATGGGGCACCGTGGAAATGGATTTAAAATTCGATATTAATGGCCAGCATCCTCTGCATCTATATTTTTTTAGTTTTTGCGATCGCTGTGGAGATAATTTTTCTCTATGAAAGCTGCGGTGAGTAGAAAAAATGTTGGCTGTCGATATGCCTGGAACCGAGAGAAGATTCAGAAGATTGGTGCAGATATCAGCTTGTTTTTCAGGTCAGTCTAGTCTAGTCATAACTTGGGTAAGACTATACTTTAGCACATATCGCAAATAGTTCATTTATTACTTTAAAATGAAAGATTATGATGTAACTTTTACGAGAATATCATTTGTTCTTTAAGAAACCCTCTGCTTACTATTTTATAGAACTTCGAAGTTGCATTTTTGGTGATGATACTCTAGAATAGTCTGTTTTCTATCGTGTCTTTTTTTGCTTGTTGTACTGAAGGGTGCTCTAAATTATAAGAATATAACATACACTGTATAGTACTAAGGAAAATAGATGTGAAACTGTAAAAAATCGTTATTTTTTGCAAAAACAGGTTCAAAACCATACGTTTTATTACACATTAACTTATTAGCTTAAATAACAGATCAAAATATATACGCAAATGATGGTATTTACTTGGTAAACTGTGTATAGGTGTTGTTTTGTGATTTTTCAATGACTTCTTGAAATTCCTTAACCATTTTTTTCGCGTATTTTCAATGAGATCAAAGTTTTTGCGTTTATACGAAATATTTGAAAGTACAAACAATTCTCAATGGCCATTTTATAACGCTCATTTCTTGACAGATAAGATAAATGCTGTCCATTGTTGCCAAGTTGTCCCTTTTTTATGAGAAATACGTAATTAGAAATGAGGTTATTTGCAAAATAAAAGTCTTAATTTATTGTCAATGGCTTGTTTTATGAAAAGTTGTCCCAATATTTACCGAAAACTAGATGAAATTTTGAACAGTATGTGCCTAAACAGTGGAAAATGCACCAGCGGCTCGCGTGACATAAAGAATACAAAAGGCACCAGCGGTCATTGCATATAAAAGTATCCAACGTCGATTCGTCGATTTGGACCACCTCGCCAGGTCCACCCAACATATCATCGTCCAACATTATAGTTAAATAAAGATCAACGATCATTTCATCAAATCATCAAAAAACTTGCAATGTTCTTTGTTACGTTTTTATTATTTAGTGATTTGCAACTTTTTCAGTTATTTCTCATATACAGGATATTCCTTAATGATATGCGAATATTCAAGGGTGTGAATCTACATGAAAAATTAATGCTTTATAAACTATGGTCCAAAAATTTTCCCTTACAAAAACTCGGGGCGATGAAGTTTTAGGAAAAAAATGGAAATTAATTAATATTTTCAGAACCGCTTCAGATATTACACTGATATTTAGTACCTTGTTAAAGTTAATAAAGTTGCATATTTTTCACTGCAAAAATAATTTTTAGCTTTAACAGTGGCGTGCGTACGGGTATTGACTTCGATATGTTTTAAGGAAAAATGGTACGCCAATGGTTTTTTGCCATATGCAAATTATTTCTCAATTCCCCGTTCAATTTAAAACAAATCATCTCTCTTGAATTGTTTTCCTTCGATGAGCCATTTTTGAGTAAAAAAATAAAAACCGTTCTATTGTCTAACTTGCAAAATTATTATTAATTTAATTAGAAAAATTAAACATATTAGGGGAAATGAACAACAACAACTGACAACATAAACATAGCATTAAAACCAACGAAATGATTACAAAACTTGTTGAAAATGGCCCCCTTCACTTAGTATGCATGCTTCCACCCTCCTTCTCATGGAATTGTGCACTCGTTGAAATATCCCTGGAGTGTTTTTTATTCTATCATAAGCTGCAACTATTCTTTCTCTTAATTCCTCTACAGCTTTAATGGGACTTGTGTACACTAGTGTCTTAAGATAGCCCCACAAAAAGAAATCTAATCTGTTGAGGTCTGGGGACCTTGGTGGCCATTCTTGGGGCCCACCGCGGCCAATCCAACGATTTGGATAAACAGTTTGTAAATAATTACGAACCGCTACACTGAAATGCACTGGTGTACCATCATGCATATATCGCATATTGTTTCTTATTACTAACGGAACATCATCAAGCAGCAAAGGCAACTGTTGTTGAAGAAAATTGAGGTAAGTCTATCCGTCAAGTCGTCCCGCCAAGAAGAATGGGCCAATAATTCCTGCCCATACGTTAACCGAAAATTGGTGTTGGAAATGGGTTTCGGCATAGGGATTTTCTTCTGCCTACAAATGATTATTGTGGAAATTCGGTATGGCATTTCGAGAAAAATTAGCTTGGTCCGTGAACAGAATCATTGATTCAGATTGCGGATTTTGTGTAATTATTTGAAGATACCACTGATAAAAGGTCACACGCCTTGAAAAATCAATGGGAAGTAATGCTTGTACACTTAAAATATGGTCAGGATATAACAAAAAATCCGCTAAAATTCTCCAAACAATTTGATAGCAAATATTTAAGTGTCTAGCGATGTTCCTCGTACTCGTTTCAGGATGTTCTTCGACTTCGTGCAGCACTGCTTCCTCGTTTTCAGGTGTTCTCACACTTAGAGGTCTACCTTCATATGTTCCTTTCCGGACAGAACCAGTTTCAACAAGACGACGATGAATATTAGAAAAGGTTCGACTATCTGGCAAAGCACGATCGGGATATCTCTGGTGATAAATCCGTCTGGCTTGCTCACCATTACCGTCGGCAAGGCCATATACATTTCCGCCATCTCTGCATTTGAATAATTCACCATTATTAACAAGATTGTGAAAACTAAATAATGAAAAAAAATTTCACAGCGAACAGATTTGAATAACAGACACTTGTCACATGTCAAAAGCCAGTGACATACCAGTGACATATTCCAGAGCAACTAGATATTTATTGCTAAATTGCATTCGTCAATTATTACATTAATTTTCTCGGACAATAGAATGGTTTTTATTTTTTTACTCAAAAATGACGCATCGAAGGAAAACAATTCAAGAGAGATCATTTGTTTTAAATTGAACGGAGAATTCAAAAATAATTATTTATTTGGCAAAAAACTATTGGCGTACCATTTTTTTCTTGAAAGATATCGAAGTCAATACCAGTACACACGCCACTGTTAGAGCTAAAAATTATTTTTGTATTGAAAAATACGCAACTTTATTAAATTTCACTACGTACTGAATATCAGTGAAATATATGAAGCAGTCCTGAAAATATTAATTAATTTCAATTTTTTTCCTAAAACTTCATCACCCCGAGTTTTTGTAAGGAAACATTTTTGGACCATAGTTTATAAAGCGAACTAACATTAATTTTTCATGTAGATTCACACCCTTAAATATTCGCATATCAAAACATCCTGTATATCACATTTAATTAGGGACAAAGGAGCGGACGTATCGGCCAGTTCTAGATGTACGAAGTTCGACACGGTTAGGATGGGAAGCCAAAGCCGAGTCTGTCTGGCAGGCACATCGCGTGCCGGCATCATGGAAGAGAGCTCTGAGGAGCAAAGCCCGTTGGTGTAGCTGTAGAACAGAGCTAGATCGCCGACGGCCCGTCAGTGCGAAAGGGTCCCTAGGCTGTCTGTTATAAAAGAGTCAAAGATCAGTCGGACAGCCCTCCTCTGGACAGCATCGAGCATAAATAACGTAGTCGAAGCGGCAGCACCCCAAACGTGTGATCAATACTCGAAGCTAGGCCTCATCTGGGCCCTGTATAGAGTGAGAAGATCATGCGGAGAAAAGTACTTTTTAGCCCTAAGCAAATAGACTAGCTCTTTTCAAGCAGCTGCCGCGATTGACGAGATGTATTCGTGCCAGATCAGGTCCTCGGCGATCTGTACTCTGACCAGTCGAAATTAATGGCTGTTTGCAGAACTCGGCCATCCATCTAAGCCGGATGAGCGGTAGGAGGCTTTTTGTTCGTCAAGGTACAGTACTGTGTTTTGGAAGCATTAAACTGCACAAGATTGTTGCGTCCCCAAGCAGTAATAACCTCCAGGTCTCTCGTCAGAGAGGAAGTCGTCGCTAGTCCTCTTTTTTCCAGCTCAGCGGCAGAGATCGGCTTATCACGCTGAATTCCTTCATGTAGAGTGCTGTCATCAGCGAAGCTGCGGATTGGACTGATCGTGAAGGAAAGGAGGTCATTGATATGTAAGAGGAACAATGTCGGAGCCAAGACCGATCCCTGGGGAACACCCGCGCTGACGTTGGGGGATGAAGAGGGGAACCCGTCAATTATGACGGATATCTTGCGGTCAGAAATAAAGTCAACCACCCATCTGTAAAGCTTTTCTGGGACAGGATGGAAGTTTGCTTAAGAGGGCGATCCATAGCTCTCACAAAATTTTTCATCAGTTCCAACTTAATATGCAAAGGTGGAAGCAACACGTTTTTGGGATCAACTAGTGGTTCAAGAGCAATATTTTTGAGACCCGGAGTTAATACCTGACGGAGTGGCCACGCCACTCCTCCTGTTCATAATGACACGCACGACTGTCCCATTCACAAAGAAAACAATATTTGGTATATCCCAGTTGCATTTCAAGAAGAAGGGCTATTACCTTTAAATCTGCACATATTTCCCATCCATATTCATTATAACGGATATGCTCTAACAGAATTCGCATATTTTCAAATGATTCCTTCATATGATGGATATTTATTACCGTTGTGTACCAATACCGCTTTTGAACTAAGCTTAGAGAAACCAATGAACAGGCGACAATCATTTGGATCATGTTTCTGTCCTAACACGTCAAACAAATTGTTGACATCGGAGCAGTATATCGACTCCCTTTCTTGACGGAAACAGTGTGTGAGGTCTTGTTGCCGTTTTCGGTAAAAAGTAATGTTAACATCACCGTGGAGAAGATTCCATCCTTTTAATCTTGTCGCTAAAACTTCTAACTGGGATTTTGACAGATTTAATTCTCAAACTAAGTCATTAAGTTCACCCTGTGTGATCAAATACGGCGCTGTTGAACATCCTGGCAGGTCAAACGAAAGATCGGAAATGTTTACGCTTTCTGTACCATCACTTTCGGAAGCGGTGTATTCGACTTTTTCATCCAGAGACCAAGATTATGGTGGAACTGGGACAGAAAGTTCATCACTATGCTTAACGGGCCACACAGGTGATGGTGAATTAAAATACTTAACAGTATGTTTCGATTTTGGTCC